CGTCATCTTTTCCTCACCCTCTCATTCCTCATGCTTCATTCCTCTCCTTCCTCACAAGAAAGACATTCGACGACACTTCAGGGAACTGAAGCACATGAATGGGGTCTCACGTCCATTTCTCCCTCGTTCTTAGGAGTTTCTTCTCTAGTTCACTGTATTGTGCTTCGTCAAGGGACTCTCGAGGCAATACATTTTAGTCGAGTCTGTTCGAAATGTTACTGCTGCCAGTAGAACGTGATGAAGCTCTGTTCTGGAGTTGTTTTTTCAATGCCACTGAGAACTACTATAATTTCCAAGGGGTTCCATCATTGACGAGACTTGACGAGGTTATGCCTTAGAGCAACCAGAGGGCGGGGTTTATCTCCAGGTCCTACTTTCTCGTTTCACAATTCACATGCGACGACCGGAGGAGGCGGATCTGTGTTCCACAGATTGTTGGCTTTGAGCTTGCACCTTGGCTTGGAGGACAACACAGCTGTGCCCCTTGTCACATGGACGCACAGTACCATAACATGACTGGACGCAGCTCTTGGAATGTGAATTCAACCCAACGCCAAGAAGCTCGGAGCCTCGTTATCCGACTGACAAGCCAACAGGAACTACAAACCCTTCTTCTAGAACTGTGCTCTTTTCCACAACTCACTCGAGCTGACTACATCATGTGACCATTTTAGCATTATATTAATAGTCATGCCCTGCATTTACCATCGAACATTTTAGTGCTATCTCTCCTCCACAATTAAACTCTCACCCTCCACCGAATGAGGAGATGGAGCTCGACATTGTGCCTTATCTTCAAGCTATAATCAACACCCACTTGTTTCTCAAACTCCTCCCTCTTATGTGAGTAAAGTGGCCCGTCGTTTTGCCATTTAAAGATATGTTGTAGATCGTGAGTGATTCACCACCACCTCTCCAAATCTCGTTTGCAACTCTATTGGAACATGCGCATGAAAGTCGACATTTGCACCCACTCTTTGATATGCACCTACTTCGAGATTAAAATAAAGGATTTTATTAGAGATGGTGGAAAAGTGGTGAAACGAACAGACTCATATTCACTTTGAAGATAGCAGGGAGGTACAGAGCACGGTACTCTGGAAGACATACGGTACTCTCCGTCCTAAATAGATGAGTGGACAGTGATGTTGACATTAATATTATTGACGAAAACAATGTTCAATTTCTCGGGGCACAGACAGGTGGTGTCTGACATCAAAGATCTCTCCCCAATAATCACAATATCATAGCTTGTACCTCACTTGTGGGTCCACTCGGGCAACAAACATTTGGCACAAGTTGACGAGGATGGCTGTCATATGCGAACACAAAGTGTTCAATGGAAGAGATCCAGTGACGTCGAGGGTGCCTATCACCAAAACTCGGAGGCGAATCTGCAAATCCAGCTCCTTGTGAGTGAGGCAGAAGTACCATCCAAAGTGACCACATTGCGGTACTCAGGTGACCTACAAAAGTATCTTGCTCTCGCACTTGTTTGTCTGACTTGTGAGCCATTCGCACGAGAGAAAACAAAACGCTCCATCCGAACAAGCCATCAAAAGAATCAACAAGGACACCACTTCGTCATATTTGAGCCTAATCAATGGTAAAAGACGCAGCTACCCTCCCTGACCCTACATCCACCAAGAGTTCAAACTCAGCCCGACAGATTCCACTTGCACTAGTCTCGACCGCAGTACCAATGTACCAGACCGGAGACAAACAGTTGATCGAAAATGACGCAGGCTTGGCCGAGCTTTTGTGATCACATTTGCAGCTTTAAATACGAAGGGACATACGGACTCATAAATTCCTTCCCCCTCCTTTGAATGCACGTTCACTTAGTACTTTGATCCTTCGATAAGGACCGCTTTTGTAGAGTGACTGCCTCTGACTTCTGTCATATAGGATTCGAGTCTATCTGAAACAATGATAAGGAAACGATTTGATCCATGCATTTGATCCAGCAAAGGACGTTCCCTCTTCTGAACAGCGATGAAATCTTACTTGACTTTCTTGACTACTCACTGAAATCAGGAGCTTGATCTAGTATAATACTTCTCCCATGACCTTACTTTTGAGGCAGAAAACTCCTAAGCGCACTCACATGCAAAGAGCCAAGCTTCAGATCAAACATCACAATGATTCGGTAAGGAGTAAGGAAGAAATACTATTGCTGAGTTTCAAACCTATTCGATATCGACTCACAACATCTTTGTGCCGACATTGAAGAAGAACTAAAGGTTCACTTTGTCACATAGTAATGTTTTAAATCTGATTGAGTAATAAAATAAGTTTGATCTCCCTCTTGATCTATTTTCCTAAGGATGCCCACCTGTCTTTCCCTATCTTTCAGTGCATGTGTATTCAAGTACTTTGTCATAAACCTTGACGGCAAAATCACCGTCCCTGTATGAGTGGCTTACAGTGTAAGCAAGAGTTGTTACTGTTCGCTCTAAGGACTCACAATGAATATAACGTAGCTGTCTATGAGGAAATACCTCTTTGCTAAAGCCACACAGTTGTTGGAATGTCGTCACCCGGCATGGATGATAACATGCCCTTTCCTCGTAGTCACCGATCTGAATGACACTCAGAGCTTTATAAGCAAACCCAATAAGTGACACGAGTGTGACGTGGAACTGGAAGATTGTTGCTCGGGCATCTCCATTTCATGTAAAAGTTATATATTATAAAACTTGGTAAGACCATCTATGCATCAAGTCGGCTATACAGTCCGTATAGACAGGAAACTCTCTAAGTTGGCGAGTACGGGAGATACCTGTTTTCCGAGAGTTAAATGCGTCATAAATAAATGCTCATCTTGAAACATATTATGGCTACATAAATCCAGATAATGAGATTGATGGCCCTACCCTTCAGGAGCATTTACAGATGTTATAACAAGCCATGCGACTAATTAATATGACACTCTGAGCAGTCTTCAACCAGATGTTGTTAAAGCAATCCGGAAGAGTTGAAGACTCGAGTCAAACTGGAAGAGTGTGTCGAAAAGTACCCCTTTAAATCTTGTGTTAGCACACTTTGAAGAGCATTTTCTGAGGTAGTGAGTCAACACTTGTAATGATGCAATGTAGGTGATTAGTCTCGGACACATATCATTTGTACATTAGTCATGGCATTTATGTCCATACTACAGCTGAGCATAGATAATTTGGTACAACTGTGTTTCCATAACGTCACAAGTCTATCACAGAGCAGTTAGAACCTTCGTGGGGTCTACACGACGGTGAAAGTACCTTCACCGAAAGTTTAACCGGATTGGGGAACAGTATTATGAAAACGCGTAAGACAACGAATCATGGAGAGTCCTCTCCTGGTGAACAGTGAAACATATCCTACAAGAACAGTAGAAAGTAGAATTGACTGGGAAGTTGATTAGGCAGCAAAGACAATGTGGATCAGTGTCATTGTATCCGACAAAGGTCATATGAATCATTCTGAGTATGTCTCAGAGCAAAGCTCTCTGAAACACGGGACCTGAACCGAAGTGCAAGGACCAGTACAAGTCAATCCTCGAGAATGACAACTTTCACAATCTAACATTAACTTCTACGAGCTAAGGCAGTTTGCAACCGAATCTTACGTTCCTGCCAGAAAGCTAACGTAAAATTCAGTCTCCGTTGACATGTTGATGGCTGGAGCACTTTAGCTGATGCACTCCGAATGAATGCATCAGACGCATTAGTGGTAAGATCCTTCAGCAGCTCAGTTGCCTAACTGACATACTAAACTCTCTGGAATTTCACCGGGTTGACAAGCAGTAAAACTCTCTATGACCGAGACTGACAATATTCACTGGTTTATAAGCACACAACGTTAGAAAAGAGCAAAATGTTATCTTGTAGAAATGCACAATCATATCTCACCTTCACATTGATTCTTCACAAGGACATGGGATTCTATCCAATCATATGCCTTCCGACATACGATTCAAAGTCCATGATTGAATTCATAACTCATTCCTCACACTTTGTAAATATTCATAGCAATCGAATGCAACCATCAGTGACAAACTGGAAGGCTTCATGTTTTTCCACGTCATTCCTGATCGACGTGAGGCATTTGTTCGTTGCATGCAATTAAACTCACGAGGCGGCCATAGAATATATATAAAAATATATACCGAAGAACGATTTTCTCCACTTGCAGCAGAATGTGCAGGAAAATATATATCTCCGATCAATGCCACTTATATAGAACCTGCGACTTTAGGAAGGAACGGTTCCATCTTCAAGGAATGAGATCATTGTCTGGCGACATGTCGAAGACTCAGTAAGGTACCTATGATCGAAGTGTCTCCAGAATCTGTCCATAAAGTATCAGAGCACACATCATGGAGTCAAAACTCCTGGGGAACATCCAGACGGGTTTAATTTTAATCATTGCCCCATACTTGAATGGTGGTCCCCAATTTGTGGCTGTGTAGTAAGAAGGATGAAATTTTAGCAATATTTTTCGGTACAAATTGATGGTCGGTGCTTTATCTACTCCTGCCTTTGTAGGTTGCAGCAGCTTCACTTTTGAACTTCTGCAGTTGGTCAGGCCTTTTAGAGCCTGCAATATATGTCCACTCACTGCGTCGAAGACCGAATTACTGCTCCTCTTTACTTCTGTAATCTAGTAGTGAGCCCAGCTTATTTCTACATTGTCTCCTCGCTCCACTTATCTTTCAAAACTTCCTCTTCCCCTTGGTGCACACAACTGTACCATGATAACTGCCAAAATGTCTTCGCTTTTTCTTAACACACTCGTTGCACATTTTATCATCATACGTGACATACCTAACCCTCTATCCCAACTTTCCCAGCTTGTTCAACTTTATGTTTCTCTCTAAATCAAACTACAGAGTAAAATAACCAAAACCATAGAACAAAACAAGTAACATATGACTATGTCCTAATAATTTTACAGTGGCAAATATGTATTCTGTAAACAAAGGCATACAAATAATATTGGTTGAATGGCTTAGATATAAAGTGAGCGTTTAGAGAATCATTGCCTAACATGAACGCTAAGAGAGCATTCATGTTAGTGCACAATCTATGCATAATAATGATACGTGTCATCTAAAATATACGACAAAGTAAAGACAATGATACCAGTATGATTTGGCAGGCAACGTTCGAAAGATCGATGTATTGTGAGGTTATGTTTCTCCCTCCAAGTTCACGCAAGTGCTATATTAGATTAGAGGCGTCGAGTAATGCTTTCTCCATTCTTTTTCCAACCATGTCGTCAGTTTTCTTTCCAACTTGCCAATAAAATCAGACCTTGTCAACTTAGAGGCTCCAACTCGCCCTGATCCAAGATCGATACTTACGATTTAATTAATGATGCTCCTGGAGTGCGATAAAGCGTGATCGACAATCCAAGAAGCATGGACCTCCGCTCTCCGACGCTGAGAAACTTGCGTTGGAAGAGCCGTCGAGGACTTGTGTAAGGCAACGGCGAAACCGGTACTCTGACGTCAGGTGCATCAGCTTTCCACCGACGTTGCAGTTTAGTCAATCGGACAGATTTCTGACGGCCGAAAGAACGCCCAAACACTGCCCAAGGTGACGACGGACTTTGGGCAGATTGACCGAGGGTAGAAATGTACGCAGTAACATCCACCGTCTGCTCGAGGTAACGTTGATGGCGCTCGGCCCCAGATGCCCATTACATCGACCCATGCTCGTAGCGGAGCGTAGCGCTCTCGCCTTTTGCGGTCGACCAATCAGCGCAAGTTTGGACTCGAGCTCCCGATCTTTGTCTCATCGTCGTGCCATGCCTCAAAGCTCCGAATTAATGCTGGGCGGAGCTGGATTGCAAGACCGGTCAAAGTAAGAAGTAATCCCAGACGCTCAGACGGAAATGTTCGGGTTGCGTTTATGGAGATTGCGTGTTTCTGTTGGTGGCATGTCTCTTGAACCAGTAGTTTAGTTTAGTCACTGGCAGGGACCAGAAGTGGAGGATTTTTTCTTACTTTGCGGACAATTGGGAGGTAAGATCTGCGCACATGATGCTGTTGACAAGAATGTCGAGCGAAGACTGCACAGCGCAGGAGTGAATGCAAGAGGCCACGTCGTCGCACACTCGCCCCCTTTCACAAGATTACAAATTCTGTTGTGCATGCTGTCAATGGCTCGGAGATATTCAATCATTCCTCCCCCGCCTTCTTCCTGTTGACGCCCCCTGTTCCGCTTCGCAGCTGGAAGTTTGGGGTCCAACGAATTTTTTGTCGAACATGCGATTCTCTGGGAGCTCGAGTTACACGAGATGCTGTTTTCAAGCACACGTCTGGGCCTTCCGCCCCTTGAACCTTGTCCACGGCGAGACAAGTGTTGACTCGCTGCCTAGGTCGCTGGCAAACGGCCCTGCCTGCGAAGGTCGGAGAGAAGAAGAGAGAAAGCGCAACCCTTTCCGAAAAGTCTGTCAATGGTTTCGTGACCTTGCTCCATATCCTTTTGTGGCCTCTCTCGAAATCACTGCCTCCTCCATCAACAGCGCACAACGGAAAAAGAGTTTTTTGGCCTGTTTGGCGTCGTCTGTCACCTCGCCCCACCCCGCCCCGCCTCGACAGCCTTTCATAATCTGTTATCCTTTCGATGTCCGTGAAGTCAGCCGGAAACCTAGCCCGGAAAGGGCTTCTCGGGCTGCAAAATCGCTCTGATTCTGCTCGTGCCCATCCCGACATCGGCAATAATCATGCGTCGACATTAGAAAAAATGTCAACCCTAGTATGTCCGCACGGCCTCTTCTCGCCATCCGCGACGTCACACCAACAAAAGGCTCGCGCGAATTCGATTTCAAAAAATTTAGAGCGAACGAGGACGCGCACGTCGAAAAGTCTGACCCAATGTTCATTCAGCAAAATTGTCATGGAACGCAGCGCCACAAAGCGGAAGAACAGCCCAAGTCAAGCACTCGTCTCCATACTGCTCATGATGACAACCCACTTCCATGTGCTGCCGATGTTGGACTCTATCCAGTAACTAAACAAAAGCGAACAAATTGGCGCTCCTGCTGCTGCTGCTCCTGCTTCTGATGCTGCTGCTCCAATTCTCGAACATCGTCGCGTTTCTTGTCTAACCGCCGCAAGAGCTCGCGCTTCCGAGCGCCATGGAAACTCGTGAAGCGGAAAGCTGGAAATCGCACAGATTCGCAGAAACGCAGAAAACATGCCGAAATTAAAAATGTTACAGTGGTGCGGCCCGTGCACTGACAGGAAGGCGACGGCGCTCGCGAAGTCCGAACACCGATTCCCAACCAAATCTCGCCATAATCCATCATTTAATTGTTCGGCCCAGATAGCCGAGCCCCAGCGCACGATCGCATCACCATCGCCATCCTCTAATCTACGCCTTCTTCTCGGCTCTCGGGGATTCTTCTCTGCCATAAAGCTCGCAAGCCTACCTTCCGAAAATTATTGTTTCCTGCTCTCTCTGAGGCACGCCATTGAAAATCCACCGGAAGCGGGAACAGCGCTTAATTCAACTGGAGATGCACTCCCAGATATTTGTCTTTTGGAACAAAGTTCCTTTATTAATCCTTTGATTTTCTGCATTTCTCTTTCCCTCGCCTTCCACATTTTAATTCTTTTGGAACAAAGTTTGTCAATCCTTTCAATTTCTGCCTTTCCCTTTCCCTCGCCGGCCACATTCCTTTCTGTTGGAACAAAGTTTATTTATTAATCCTTTGATTTTCCGCGTTTCTCTTTCCCTCGCCTTCCACATTTTAATTCTATTGGAACAAAGTTTATCAATCCTTACATTTTCTGCCTTTCCCTTTCCCTCGCCGGCCACATTCCTTTCTGTTGGAACAAAGTTTATTTATTAATCCTTTGATTTTCTGCATTTCCCTTTCCATTTCCCTCCGGAATTTATTCTACGCTTTCCCTCCCTCTTTCCGAGAAGACGTTTCTTGGTACGAGGTGTGGTACGAGACCGCATCACGAGCAGTTTCGAGTCCCTCCAGGTTCAGCTTCTGTTCTCAGACAGTTACTTTTTTAGTGGTTTAATTTCTTCTGAGGACGTGGTAATACTGTATAAACAAACTCTTCAAAAATTCTTCTCCTAGAAAATTGACTTTGACATTTTTTATTTTACGTGTAAAAAAACTGGTGTATGAATTTATGTACAAACTAATGAGACATGCAGAACCTGCACCTGCCTGTGGCATAAATTAATTATAGATTAGATGGTGCCTTTGCTCGGTGAGTCTAGGCTGTCTATTTCTTAGGGCGATCTTTTCATGATGTTCCATTAAGTGTCCACGGGACTTTTTGCCTTTCATTATCATAGCATGAATATAATTTTGATTTCATAGCATTATAATATGAACATGAATATACAAATTCATTAAATATTCATTTCAAATGAATATCATGAAGATGAGAAAATATGTAATATACGCACTTCTGCGACTTTTGGCTTGATTGTTTGTGTTCGAGTTGAGATAAAATATTATTTTTTCTAGTTGTGCGTTTTTCATGTGTCAATTAATTGGAACTGCGATTTTCAAGTAAACAAGTCACTTAATTTCTGCTCGTAGGTCGGTGTGGTTTAAAGTGATTTGCGCGGAAGGTCCTCAGCTCACCGCGTTGTTTAACGACCTGTCTTGGAAGTCCGATCGAATCCTCTGTACTTAATTAACTTGTTTATCCTATATTGATCGGAGAAAAATATTGATCGAGAATCCTCTATATTTTTTTTCTCCATTGCCAAGTAGGAAAAGCAAAAACGAAAACAATCTGGACAGTACGACCATCAAGTCATTCAAGGATGACATAAAAGATAATTAGAGTCGAGTTTCCAGTTGTATCACAATGGATAATATCAACATCTATGCGACAAGAGCATTCCACTTCATAACATTCAATATGATTTTTCCTCTCGTATATATCATAACTTTTACTCTACAAGGCTATACAGTTCACTCAGAAGATCGATGATACTCTTGGTATCTCTTGTGAATCTTTCACTTGTGAGATTTCTCACGAATCTGTTGAAATACATTTGCATAATTCTTTGTAATTCCAATGTTAGAATAAGGAAAAAAAAAGGTCTTTCTACTCTTTTAAGATCGATTGTTGTCACTTCGTTTGGCTTCTATTGAGATGATAGATTTTAACATTGTGTCACTCGTAGTGTGTATGGTAACCAGTAATTTCAAATCATATATATATATATATATATATATATTTTCCCTTTATCACCACAAATATCAAATACAAGTACTATGAATTTGAGTTAGTTATCCATGTTATATCAAACATATCACATCTTTAATATCATCATGAATAATTTTGTCTTGCATTTCAAGTAGTCATGTTCGATCCGAATTTACTTCATACTCATACATGATCATTAAAAAATATTTTTTTTGCACTACAAGTCAACACCCATAATCACTCTAACATTATTTCAAACTCAAAGAAGAACAAAAAATATGGATAGCAAATACAAGTGAATAAAATTCTTCATTACATTTTTCAAATATAAATTTAGACCATAAAGATTTTTTATAGAATCATATCAAGATTTACAAACATGTAATTTCTTGTGATAAAAAAATTCCTATTTCAAGGCAAACAAACAAATTTCACTCATCGTTGAAAAAAATACATTTTTATCATAATGATAACATACACAAACAATCTTAGAACATTGTCAAATATACATCTTTGTATCACAAAGATATGCAAACAATCAATTTTGGTACTGAAATCATACCAAAGTAAAAATTATGTACGTTAATAAGAAATTTCATACTTGAAAATTATATCCTTTTAATTTCATGTCTTATAGTAAATTTTAAAAAAAAATCAAATTTTTTTAAAATTTGAAAGAAATACAATATTTAATTCAATGAAAAATTTACTACAATAGGTAATCAAATCGAATTCATGACGCATTTCATGATTTATTTTTACTTCAAGATTCAATTTTAAATATAAACTTACTATAAATCAGGTTTCATAAAGTCTAAAATTTGCCAGAATTATACAATACAACTTAATTAGTGGGCATTCCTAGTCTTAATTTTAGATTTTTTGGACTTTATTGAAAGAAAGACTACAAACGCATATGGATTGAGCTCAATTGCTTGTTCTGGTTACTCTGCAAAATACCATTCGTTAAGATTGTACGATGATCGTCATCTTTACAAAAAAAGTTCAGATTTCATAGAACTAGTGTTGGCAAATAAGACAACCAACCTTCCATAGATTCAATGTAGATAATCAAACTGACCGTATAATGTGTATCATGCATGGTAGAATTTTGTGGCATGATCATGACTACAAATTGAAGCTTTTACCATAGTCTCAAACTCAAAAGCATGGAGAAGTTGTTTGTGATATTTCTCAATTATATCAACATCATACTTGCTCCAATGTTAAATACAATCATGATATGGATCACGAACGTTGGCCATGAATGTACTTGTGCACATCTTAACTAATTTATAAGTCATCACTTGAAGCGCGACTTACATTTCAGCCTGCGGTTGAATGTATCTTTCTTCTTGAACATTGCTAATGACTTCAACTAGCAAAAATTAGTAATCAACAATCTCGTTCACACCTAGTGTATTTTTTGATGAAAGCATAGTAAATAATAATTCTTGGCTCAAATATCCCTATCATGATTGTGGGCAATTACATTATTAATAATCATTTAACATTCACACTGTAGTAATATTCATCATCCGCAATTGCCATGTAATGACATTAGTATATTTTTTTCAATGTCCAACAGAATGCACAATTTATGATCAACTTTTTGATTTCAATTCATAGTTGAGATTGAATCATGTCTCATTGTAAAATGATCAATATTATAATGCATGATGACAAATAATGAAACAGTGGTCACAATGATAATCCATCAAAACTGCAACGGACCAGAAATAAACTACTTCATTTCAATATGAACAAACAAGCAATGATGTCTATTAATCATCAAACAGATCATGTTCTTGAAATGCGTCCAATGATTTGTTTGGACAATTGCTACTCATTTCAGTAAGAAGATTGGATTGTTGTTGAAGTTCGACGGAGAATACATGCATCTATTTGTAATACTTTACTTCTTGTAAATTGTTGATACTTGAATTAATAACAAGATTAATCTAATGAGATGGATGACATGTAAAAAGAATAAGATAAAAGTGATACTATCATCAACATGTCTAATATTTTACTTTCTTCATTAGTTGCAACACTAAGTAATTTATTGCACTAAAATTGATACATACAATTCAAAATTTTTATGATCAAAGTCATAATATCATTAACATGTCTAATCTTTTACTTTCTTCGTTAGTTGCAACACTAAGTAATTTAGACCAATTTAATTTCTAAAATTTTAATTTAGGCTAATTTAGTTTACTAACAGTTCTTTTCAGAGTAATTATTTTTAAAAAATTTTCTTACAAAATTTACATTAATGTATTTAAAAAAAAATAAAAAATCCATCAATTTGCATAAGTATACACTCTCCATTGGTTATAACATGTAAACGCCAAATCGTAACTCCCTTATTTTAGTCGCCTAATACAACCATGCATGGATATATCGGTCAACTAATCGATTATTCAATTCTGTCAATTTCACATTCTCGTTGTGTTGGATCATGCTAAATCACTATTGATGTCTAGCGAAATGAAAGTATATTCGATGTAGAATCAATTTAGAGATTGAATTGAATTATGTTATTAATTTTCACGCGGTAAGAGACATAAATATAAATCTTGAAAATTTTCATAGTTTCACCATATTGATAGGTTCACATCATACTCCTTGTAATCTTTTGGATTGAATAACATCGTACTCTATAAAAAACTTGATACTAAATATAAGTCATGTATGATGTCAATATATGATTTAACATTTCCTTGTAGATTGGAAAAATATTTTTTCTTATTTCTATATAGAGTTTGATATTCAATCCATGGTTTTGCAAGTTTTCTTTTATGATGATTTCAGCACAATTCGGGTTGAAGTGAATGCCACACCATAACAATTTGTGTATTTGTCTCTTCTCTTGTATCTAGCGTACCTCTTTGAATGCAAAATAAACGCTACAATAATCCAACGTTCTTTTTCAAATAAATTTGAATACTTTCTAACCAAATTCCAAACTGTGTTTGGATTGAAATGAAGTTGGTTTTTTCTTTATCTTCGTATCAACAATAGCCATTGCAACGTTCGAAATGAAACCTGAAACCAACAAATGATGGAAGCAACGTTTTCATCATTTCTTGGTTCCAAGTGATGAAAATGATGCTTACATGCTACGAATAGACCTTGGCAAGGTAACGTAAAGGTTAAACGTTACGCTTTACTTATACGGTACGTCGCGCTTTACTTATACCTTTACCTCTACTTTACCCTTTAATCGGGTAAAAAAATAAAATTAAAAAAATTAAAACACTTTACTTTTACTTTACCTGCTAAACGGGTAATTATTCAATAAAAATAAAAAAAATACACTTTCTCTTTAATTTATCCGTTAATCAGATAATAATCCAATAAAATAAAAAATACATTTTACCTATATTTATTTATCTACGTTCTTAAATCACCAAGTGGTTGCATATGATGAGATTTTCTAATGACAACTTCTGAACATCAATATTTGATTCTCTTCATTTCTATTGAATACATAGATTATCAGTTTGCCAATAATAAGTGAAAAGGTTAATTTATTATCTAAATAATATATATAAGATGTATAAATATATTTGTTCTAATTTTTAAATCTTTCGATATAAAACATGAAAAAACTGTCTATGAAGGATGAAAATCCTTCATCATTTTCTATTCTTAACCTATTCTTTTACTCAAAAGATGACTTAAAATATATAGGGAAAGCTTGAGCACCATTAGACAATTGTATTATTTATGTCGATAAATTAACAATCTTAGCATATCAACCGGAAGACATGTCAACACTTTTGCTATAGAGTTATACACGTATTTATAATTATTATTCTAGAAGCCATAAGTTTTGTCATGTAAAAAAAATCCGACATATAAATACTGCCAACTTAAGAGGTAATTACTGGGTTAATGGGTAAGTAAATCTGCATTACCTTTACTCTACCTCACCTGATAAGTTTCCAACCTTTACCCTTGAGTAAAAGGCAATTTACCTTACCTTGCCAAGGCCTAGCACACTTTCTGCATATTGCGTGACTATAACACGATGTTAATATCGGTAAACAACACATTTCTTGTATATTGCTTGACTGGAACACGACAGTAACAGTTCCAAACAGTTCATATATAAACTCTAAATAATATGATGTTTTAATTTATGGACCTAGTGAAATTTTATTTTATTTTAATTTTGGGATTTTGTGGCAAAATCCCAGAATTTATGATGACCGCTATAAACCTGAATGAAAAGCTTCTTAAGTAGATGTTTTCTTACGTGAAACTCTGAATTCATCAATTCTATCACCTGAATCTAAAGTCATGCGGGTATATTTGAATGTAGAAAGTAGCCATTAATGGCCAGCAGATGTTGATCATATCACGGCTAATCCATGATTTCACCAATTTCAATTCATCACTCTGTTAGACCAACTTCTACTCTGACATAGATGCACCCATTGCTATTCCAAAGCATTTTACTTCCGGATCTCCATGGTTTCAAGACTAATTCAATATTGACAAATCTACACTCATGTTTCCAAACACACAATATTAGGGTATTACCATAATGCACTGGATCATTTAACAAAGATATAGTAACTCAGACCAAATTCCAAACCTTTTGAGTGGTCGTTTTGAGATTGTAATCCAAGGCCTCGAGGGTCACGAGTGAAAAAGGTGAAGGTTGGAAAATCATGCGCAAAACCTCGACGGAAAAGTACCGCAGAAAACTTGGTGATGGAACTGTGTCGAATATCAAGTGCTGCAGATCTTGGAAACATGTCCCGGGAAGACATGCAAGAGATAACAGTCTGGGAAGTGAAGGATACGAGATGGGAAATATGAACTCGTTAAATCCATCTTGATATTCGTTCCGTGTGTGTACTTTTCAGCACTGGTTACGCGCAAAGTGTTTGAACGAGGACCTAAAATTTTGTCTTATGACTTTCACCAGGTACACTGCAAACTCAGGACTGAATCCCCAGCTTGCACAGAACAAAAAGACCCGTTTCCCAATAAACTATAAGGAATAATGTCTTCAAGAACTGCACAACAAACAAGATAAAACTGAGAAAGACCGCTATGATTTTACTAAACCACCGTCAACAGAGAGAACCAGTCTTCACGTAATTCAAAACGAAATTTCCAAAATGGAATGATACTATTTCTACTATGATAGATGAGGACCAGTTCACTAAGAAGTTGAAACGGAAAGCAAACGAAACAGTCTCCACATGTAGAAGCTATTCGCATCGCCAACAGTGGAACAGAGAACAAAATTACTCATACTCTCATCAAAAGAACATATATGTCTAGCAATGTATTTGCGATTGCACTTGGTCAGATTCATAGTCAATTCACGTTCGAGGATGCAAGATGGAACAAATCCTTTGACTGGACACTGTAACACGTTCTTAGTGCTTCACCCGATGATGGTATTGAATAGAGGACATAAGCATGCAGGGGCGGAGCCAAGGGGGGGGGGGGGGGGGGGGGGCAGTGGGGGGGCATGCCCCCCCAAGCCCAGGAAGGGTCTACACAGATTGTGAGTTACAGAATGTGAAAACGAGGTCGAGAAAAAATTTTAATTGAAAATTGGCGGGTAGCATCCCCCTCGCCCCCCCCCCACCCCCCCCCCCCCCCCACCTGAAAAATCCTGGCTCCGCCCCTGTAAGCATGCATGGACTTTTCTGCGATCTTCTCTTAATACACATTGCTCCATCCTACAGTGCGAAAATTAGTGACAGGTGTAAAAGAGCTGAGAGATTTGTCGTACCAATACCAGATTGAAAACAGACTAGGAACTGTATTCCTTGGATAAAAGTATGATGTAAGCTCGTTCTTTCCTTCAATCCATGAGACTATCAGGAGCTCTGAGTTAACCAGACCCTGATACCAGACTCTTTCGCGCCTTCTATTTGAGATCTTTCTAGCACTGACAAACGATAGACTAACTTCCCTCTAGTCGACGACAAATACACGCTCTGAACTTCAGAAAAGACATGCCATCAAATAAGAATGGCTCAAGACGATACAATGAGAATGAGCCTCATACTAGCTTCATAGAAACGATCACACCCTTTGAATCAGCTACCACGTCTGAGAATCGAGCAACGAGGCTTCTTACACACCGTGGTGTGTCTGCAAAGTATACAATATTAGTTGCTCTCGGAATGCATGTGAAGTCACCGACGAGTGGTGCAAGCCAGGACTCTCAGGAGAAAGTTCCCAGATTTGAAATACTAAATACAATGAGCTCGAGACACACTGTTTCTCCTCACCACCGAGCACCCTACAAATCCTGAAGGAAGTTCCTTGATATGTACATCATGTAAAGTTTCTACTTTGCAGAAGGTATGGGGATGCAATTGGCATCCCCAAGGATGGTCACATCCATTGCCTCCTCCTCCTGCACATGAATGACTCCCGCAGTCTCATGGGAATTTCAGGAAGCCAACAACTTCGGCTTCCAACTACTGCTATCATGGTGGGGGTGGTGCCAAGCGAAGAAACCCTCCATGCAGAGATTCCTCTCTATCTCTCTCTCAGACACACACACATATCTACAGATTCACAAGATTGCACAAGGCAATCACACCCACGAGCCCGTGGCTCTCTCTCTCTCTCTCTCTCTCTCTCTCTCTCTCTCTCTCTCTCTCTCTCTCTCTCTCTCTCTCTCTCTCTCTCTACAGATTTACAAGATGCAGAGGAAATCTCTCACCGATCGGACGGAGGGGCGTGCGTGCAATCACACGCACGAGCCCATGGCTTGAAAGATGAGCACATCGTCCACGAGAGACATTTTCTCCGGGTAAGGAATCCAGGTCCACTCCCTGGTGAGGAAGTTGAACATGACCAGGGAGAAGCCCCAGGAGCAGCGAGAGGTGAAGAACATGAGCTGCCCGAGGCCGGCGCACTTGAAGTCCTGAGTTTCGTGACCCAAGGTGGCGACGAAATGGGAGTGCACATCTTCGGGCATTCGCCCGATTTCCACCCACACCATGTTGATCTGATCCAGCTCCCAAATTCGCACGCTCTGCGGCTTCAGCGAGTTCCAGCCCTGCCTCCAGTACTTGTGCACTCCTCCCACCAGCAGCAGGCTCCCGCCTCGCTCGACCAATCGAGGCCGCACGAGGAACCGAGGCAGCGGTGCCTCCAGCTTGCTCCACAGACCTGCGTCCACGTTCATGGACATCACTTTGATCGACAATCCGGCCATCATGTAGTAAATGTGGCCCTTGCACACCAGCCCGTAAGAGCGGAAGTCCACATCCTGAGGGATGGCCCCTCCCAGTCTCTTCCACGAGCCCGTGCACGAGTCGTAGATCTGCGTGATTCGATACCACCCGCTCGTGGCATTGCCCACCACGACGATCTTGTAGTGCCGCGAGCTTTCGTCGAACAGCATGCAAGTCGCGAGGTCGAGATGGTGCCCGAACGAGACTCGAGGCAGCACTTTCAGAGCAGGCGGAGGAAGCTGCCTCCAAGATCTCGTCGTCGGATTGCAGACGAAGAACGCGGCGACCTCGTCGATGGTGGCAGCAAAACACAGCAATCCTCCGGCCGATGCCGCCAGGTACACTCGCGGCCGCAGGGCCGGATCCGGGAACGTCAGACAGAGATCGAACCACTTGCGCGACGAAGGATTGTATCCCACGAAGGACTCGCAGTCCGCACTCGTCCCCAGCAAACAAGGTGTCGGAGACGGCTCTTCTCTGCACAAACTCAAGAGATTTCGCGACAGAATCAACGAGTTCCACGCTTTGCAGATGGCGCGCAATCTCAAGACTCCGCTCACGGGCAATTTGGTGAGCACTTTCTCGGTCAAGTCCTCGGGCAAATCGCTCCAGAGACGCGCCTCCATCGTGCGAGGTACAACGCACGACCTGAGACCTTGTGTACGATATACAGAAGATCGATCCGACACGACACGGGCTCGACCAGAAATTTCACAAAGACGACACACTCGGTGGAATTTTGTACATACAACTCACGATTTCACTATCTATGTGCAGCGAATGGCCCCCATTCGAGCGCAAAGTCGGAGCGAGGAAGAACGATACCAATTCGAGGCCGAATAACCACCGCTTCCCACGCAAATTATCCGAGAAAGTCTCTCACGATGAGGTCCAGCAGGAGGAGGAAATCGAGGGACCGGGACGATGAAATTATCGACATACGGGGAGGAAAACAACGCAGAACGAAGACAAGAAGAACATCACAAAGCCTACAGGCGATGGACCTCGATGCAGACTATACATGTCTGCATCGAGCAGAGCCCGAGAAGAAGCACGAAGACAAGAGACAGCTCAAGAAGAGCCCATGGACGACGATATGACATCCGTCTCGACCGGCAGAAGTTCGAGATATTCAAACCCGGGCCCCAATTTTCACGACGGAGAATTTCACACTCTATTTAATGGACATAAAGATGCAATCGAATCACATCTTCTGCTCCGAGAGCTAGACAGGCCGTCGTTAGGGTCGGGAAATGACCGCAAAATGCCCTCTCCACAACCAAATGCGGAGGAGAGGCGCGCTAAACCGACACGAAGAGAAGAAAAACGTGAGCAGAAAAACACTTTTCCTCTCGCGAGCTCAACCCGCCGGCTTCCATTTGCGGGCGACCACGGAAGCTGCTCGAAGCAGAGCGAGCCGAAAGAGACGACCAACGTCAACCCTCAATTTCTGGCTGGCTATCAGCTCATCACAATTGCGCGTGTTCACATTCAAACTCGCCAACGAAATCATAAAGCAATACACCAACAGACTGCGACCACAACCAAATCGAACGCACGCAAAATTGTAACGAATCTGGGAAGGAAAGAGAGCGAAAGCAAACAAGAAAGACAGAAACAGGCTCGACGCAACTCGACAGTCGACGATAAAGCAATGAAGCGAGCGGGGAGTGCGGGTACAGAGAGGACGAAAGATGACGATAGATAAGGCAGAAAGAAAGGAGGGAGGGAGGGAAGGTTTCTACCGTGTGGTGGCTCGAGCTACCGACTGTATCAGGAGCAGATTGCTTGCTCGCTTGCTTGCTGCTAGCATGAGGGAAAGAAACACAAGGGGAAGCGAAAAGCACGATAAATCGAGGAGGAGGAGAAGGGCCGGAGTGGTCATCAACCTCGTGGAAGTATGAACGTGGCACCACGACGAGTTTCGCCATTTTCACCGGGGTTTCGCCAAGCACCCCACCCGTCCCCCACACGGAGAGAAACCATAGCTCGGTAATCAATCAATCGTAGTAATCATCGCGTCCAGGTTTCTTTCTTTCTTTCTCCTTAGCGGCCAATAACTGCAACGTAGGCAACTTGTGAACCTTTTTCTTTGGGTCCACTCTACACAGACATGGTTTCCGGACCTCTCAGATTCTTACAAGACTTCATTGGATCTCGGATCTCTGGCTCGGCAATCTCCTCGCTTTGTGTTTGGCCATCTTACTTTCTCGAGTGACGACAAGTATGACATGTGTAGGACACTGGTCAACCTTGCATCTTCTCATGGATCTCCTCCTTCCGATTGAGCGCTAGCTGAATCTGCAGATTCTACCTCTGGCACTTCAAAGTGTCCCAATTTTTATCCACGGTGAACATACACAAAGCATGTGGAAGGCAACCATGTGTCCAAGCATGACTTTTCTCGATGCTCTTTCTGCTCTCCTCCTTGCACTTGAGATGAGAACGCCATTGGAGGTTGTCCCTCTTTTGACTGGAGCTTTTATCGAATTCCAGCAGATGAAATCATTTGCCCGAGGAACTCCATGCTCCATATTTTCCCTCCTGGTTCACTCCATTTGGTGCTTGTGTTTCTCTTGTGGACACAGAAGTGGAAGCTATAACTTTAGAGGCTATATCTCCTTGCCAGATCTCCTTCACTAAGAGTTAATGTGGGTTTCATTCCATTGTTCCAAATCTCAATCTGTCTAAAGCTGCCGGGAAAACACTCTTCACTGATCGAGCACGTACTTCCGTTTACCTTAAGTAATGGAGGCCTGATGATGACATTCGTTTGTGTATAAGGGTGAGAAGAAGATTCACAATCCGTGGCTTCGGACTGAACTGGCCAAGGAGAGAAATCATGGAGAGCAGATTCGTTCTCGCTCGAGCGTTATGTGAAAATGGTGGAGCAGGAAATGGCCTCAGGGAACTGGAGCTGTTCCCAAAGATTCAGCCTAACGAGAAGAAGAAAAATAGATTGTTTTTTGGTGTGTGAAAGTGTTTTCCCCGGCAGCTTTAGAGACATTGAGGTTTTAAACAATGGAATTACACCCACATTAGCTTGTAGTGAAGGAGACTGCTTTCACACTCTCAAAAGAGGTCAGAAATATTCAAAACATTTCGAGTTCAGTCACATTACGTTGTGAGCATCAATTGCAGAGCTGGAACGGAAGCCCACATTCAAGGGAATTACAAATCTCTCTGATATCATCCGTGTATAGGCAGATGACAAGAGTACATACACATTCGAAGATGACTGAGGTTTGTGCCGATTTGTGCCCTGACCCTTCCATTTTATATATTTATTAGAAAAACCAATTTCCATAGTAAAAAGGATGTGACCACCCATCCACTCCTTCCGGGGAATATGTACTTCACTTTTCATTTCATGAATGTAGGGATCAAATTAACTACTTGCTTTAGAAGGATAGGCATACTGTATGCCTATCCTTCTAAGATACTGATAGCATGGGTTATGCTCCGACAGCGTCAGAACGGTATCTATATCCAGTAGGATATAGAAATGATATAATTCAAACTGTATTCAAACATCAAAGTATGTGATTGCTTGCTATCCTAACCATAGCATTAAATGTTATCTTCTTTAAATATTATATTATATTATTATCGTTGAGGAATGTAAAGATAAAATACACGATCCGTTAAAGTAAAATCATATTCACATTTTACTTGCACATTGTCTTCTAAACATGTCAGAGTTTCTGTCCTTCCCGAAGTTCCTTTGAGAGTATATTAATAACCACTCATTTACGACATTGACATGATACTTCTCCAAGTTCCAGTCAAATTTTATTCTACTTGAAGTAATGCAAATGTTACCTTTCACATAAAATTATTAATCATTATAATCTCTATAGTTTGCCCTTTGAATGACATAACGAGTATGTAAAAATTTGATTTAACTTAAATGCTTTCAAGATTACATGTGAATACTGATAATATAGATGGATATACCATACCAAGAAAGAACTTGATTGTTGAAGAAAACATAAATAATGTAAATTTTTTATCATATATCCCATTAACTATCACCAACTAAGATGATTGCTCTCATTAAAGTTGCCCTATTACTATCTATAGAGACAATTTTTTTTTAATATGTCAATGTTACGTAATATTGAAGAGAGTAAAACATAACTCATTAAAAGTGGTAAATATTATTATTAAATGTCATCTTTGCCACGATTAAAACAGAACCAATGCCACATATAAGGATGATTGCAATTTCGGTTTTCTAGCATAAAACTTTAAATATTTGCACGCAATGCTTAAAGTTTACAAACAGTGTGGTGAACTTGGATTACGTCTCAAATGTGCAAGATTTTATTGTTACACTTCTCACATTTGACTATGACAACAATCTCAACTTTCAATGAGAACAACAAATGCTTAAAGTTTACAACCAGTGTGGTGAACTTGGAAAACGTCTCAAATGTGCAAGATTTTATTGTTACACTTCTCACATTTGACTATGACAACAATCTCAACTTTCAATGAGAACAACAAATCCAAATTGAAAGATGTCATTTTTGTCGGACTAGGAAAAATTGATGTGTGATGAGCACGTGTGATGTTGATACACGCCAACTATTTGATGTCAAGTTACTGTTCTCTCCTTGTTTCAATTGCTCATCTTTGTTCAATGTCGAGTAGCTTTTCTCTCTCTTTCAATCGCTTAATTTGATCAATCTATCTTTCTTCTTGATAGTCTTGTAGTGACTACAAATTCTATTTTCATCTACAACACTCCGTTCAAAGTCATATTCTTTTTTCCTTGAATCAGATTTTGAAGTTGCTTGCAATGAATCGTTACTGGCTCAATTTTCTCTTATGATGGTTGTTGGTCTATGCTTATTTCATTTTTTAGATCTGAAGATGACTGATCTTTTGATATTTTTCTCTCTCCTCACTATGTGTCAAATCACAATAAATTAGTAAATTGAAATTTTTTCAACATATATAGTGATATCACAGTAAGGTGTTTGAAGCACAAAATACAACTTTGAAGTACATTAAGGTAAAATTATTTGTTGTTGTATTTACGAGCAATTTATGAATGCTTGATTTGAAGACTTTCTACTCCATCTTTTTTCTTCACCGTTTGTGAATAAATTGTGTACTGTAAATTCTACTTGAGAGTCTTGAAGTGACTACAAACACTATTCTCAACTATAACACTATCTTCTAAGTCATATTCTTTCTTTCTTGAATCTGACTTTGAATTTGCTCACAAGGCTTCGTTAATGGCTTAGTTTTCTCTTGTTTGGTTGCTTGTATATGCTTATTTGATTTTTTTTAGCCAAAGTTGATTGAAATATTTTCTTTGTGTGTACTCTCTACGTGTCAAATCACATTATACTAGTCATTTGAAAATTTCTTGAACATGATACAATGATATCACAACAGTTTGAATTGATTCATGCGGATGGTGATTCAAGCAACAAGCAATAAAATCACGACAAGAAGACATTTTTCAATGATGCATGGGATTCAAACAAATCAATAAAGAAGCGGTTTATAATGTTGAGCAATTTCAATGCAAGATTTGTAATAGACTTTGCAAACATCTTTGGATCAAATCCATATACCATTTATTGCAACGGAGAACAACAATTGACGAAGGGATTTGCACAATTTTTCTCTTGTCGGCATTATGCATGCGCAGTAGTATGATGTTTGAAAAGCATTATTTTGATGATTTCAATACAAAGATGTGATATATTGGTAATATCAAATTGTAAAAACTTCATTTTGTGACACAAAGATTTTTGTTTGCAAGAATCGATTAGATTTTTGCGATTGAATTGCGATGCTATGCTTCATTCTCCTTGATCTTGCTGTCACACTTAAATGAGTTGAATGCCAACAAGTAAGTACTTCATTCTAGACACTAATACACAAATTTATATGTGTCGGTCAATTATGATAGACACATTTTTGCACTTTCTAAGAGTTAAATTGAGCAATGCTTGAGTATTTATCCTAACAAAGCAAGCATTAGAACGCATTGTAGAAGAAAAAAAATGAAAGTGATTTGAAAGGTATTCATAAGATTTCTATTTTTGAGTGTGGATAGAAATTGAAATAATTCATGATCACCTGATGGAATCTGTTCTAATGGAATCTATTAGAATATATTCGTAGATCGCATACGAGTTAGTAGACTTCTGGCTAGATCAACCCCGACCGTATCCCATCCGTGCGAACAGCAAGGGTACACCGTTTGCGGATCACCGTCACCCAGGTTTCACCGTCACCGTAATCCAGGGTTTAGCATTTTGTACGGTTTTAGCATTTCGCGCGCTCAGTCTCTTACTCAGACAGAATGTTTGTGCGAGTTTTTCACGAAGCAGATCAGAAGAAGAGAAGAAGAAGAAGAAGAAGTGCGGGTTTTGTCTCGTAGAAAGTCAACAGAACTGATTGCAGATCCATCCTCTGCAATCTAACCTTGCGTGGCATGAGGGATCGGAGAATTCATGATGTTATCAGAACAAGAGAAGCAGAACGAGAGATGTAGCGCAATGTTATGGGGATGAAGTCGAAGCAGGTAATGATCATTGACCACGTGCAGGTTTCATAGAAGACACTCATGATGGTAGATTGAGCGAACATATGGTCGGGGACTCAGGGTTGGCAGGTTGGTGATACCTCAGGCTCGTTCGTACTAACCTACTATATGTGCTTAGAACTATGGTTCTTGGTTTTCACTGTTGTTTTCCACTTCAACTACATCACTGGGTGCAACATAACGATAATTGCATTTATCTTCCAGGTTGCTTTTTGGAGTGGTGATTTCAAGAAGCAAGTAATATTTTTAGGGGGTCTCACAGATGGCCTCCTTGCTACAGAGTATGTACGCTACAAAGAATGTGTAAATTCATAGTACAGAGTCTGATAGCGTACATACTCTGACTCTGTACTATGAATTTACACATTCTTTGTACATTTGCGGAGTGAATGTCAGCAGTGAGAGTCTTCCTGATCTTTGCATTGACAAGATGGCAAAATAGTGTACAGACGTGCAAGCACATTCACCCCTGCCATAAACCAACGTAGCAT